AAAGCCCTACCCTGGCAGTTAGTGCTTCCTCTGGTGTTTGTGCAGCTAAGCACAGCACAAAAGGATCTAATGCTCTTGCTGTGCAGCTTCTAAATAATTGTTTCTTTTGTTAAATCCTCTCTGTTTCTGAGATGGAAAAAGAAAAGAATTTGTTGACATGAGAACGAGCCACTAAAGAGAGACAGGAGCACAGTAGAAGGTCCTGGAGATTCTTACATAAGGACTTGTGTACTGCTTGTTAGCATCTCTGTTGCAAGATGTATGTTTATATATGTTTTGTTACTTAAGAAATGACTGCTCTGTACACATGTTAATTAAAAAAACCTCCAAAGCTCAACTTGTAGGTTGCTGAAAATCTGCAGCCATTCAGCAGACATAACTAGTAATACTATTTTTTTCCAGATATAATTCTAAGTATTCTGAAAACCAACATAGAACACACATGAACTAAGGACATTGCTACATTAAAATACATCTTTAGGACTTAAAATATAATACCACAAAATACGCAATTGCTAACTAGTTGTTCAGTATGGTATTGGAGAGAGGAACCTATCGGAACAATAACAGAAGGAATTGCTGCTTTGGGGATTTCTTTACAACTGTGAAATGCTGTTAATAGAATAAAAGGATTACTGGAGATTTCAAAGAAAAAACATGGGAGTTTTGCATGAGGTCACACCTGTCCAGAAATTGTGTGGTAACAGCTTTGTAGTTTAAAACAAATATTTTTGTAACTTTCAGAGTTTTCATTTATTTTATACAACATTAAGTATTTCTAATCACACAGCTGTTCTCAATGAAAAGTTAAAAGGCAAGGAAATATTAAACTTTTCAAATCTCAAGAAATTTCCAGGGGTGGAAGCTTAGAAGGACCACAGCAGAGTGGTTTGCAGCATCATGCTCAGGGCCACTTCCCTGCCCACTTACTCATCACCACCTCCGTTAAGTGTGTAATGCTGGGCTCATACAACACGTTTGTGATGAAGCCTTGCAATAGCTAGCAATTGCAAGCAAAGAGACTAGAACTGCATGAACAGCCAGCTCCCTCCTGGTCCCAAACTGTTAAGTTTTAAAGCATTTGCCCTGACACATACTCAGCAAAGCAATCAAGAAATTTTTGGACAACACTAGTTGCAACAGTTAAGCAGGTGGTATTATTTCATAAACTTTTCGCTATACTTCCATTGTATTCTTCCTCATTCATCTCTTTTCCAAGTTGAAAAGGCTGTCACCTCCTGAAAAGCTCTTCTGAACAGAAAAAAATAAACAAAAAATCCCAATGAGGATGATCTTTTCAATTCCCAACATACCCTTTTTGAAACAGGGGCCTGGAGCTAAAACTGTAGTTAAGATGCAGTCCCATGATGGATTAAGACAGCAGTTGAACCGCTTCCCGGTTTGCTCTCTGCTGACTCTCTAAATAACGCTTCCCATTTGTCCACAGGTTGAGAGATTTTTCTACATTCATTAAACCACCCACAAGGGACACCAAGACCCTTGTTTTACATGATCATAGCTACTCCAGAGCTCATGGTTGGACACGTATTCAGACTAAGTCACTGGATAACAGAAAGGGCAAAAATGACTAAAGTGCTTCAATTTTACCACAAGGTAAACTTACTGAGATTAATTCAGGTACCGTAAACCAGATCTGACCTCAAGTTCTACTGCAAATAAGTTTTTTAGGTGGATTGTTTTTACCAGTGTGGGTTCTTTTTGCCTAGCTGATGTAACTACTCAAATTAAAATAAAATTAAAAAAAAAAAGAAGAGAGCATTTTAGCACTGTGTGACCTAAGCTCCGACACTTAGATCTGCAAATGACCTTGACACATGTGAGAGGAAACTGCAGATCTGACACAATGAAACAGCCGGAGACAGTGGATGCATTCAAGAGGGTAGAAAAACAGGCTCCATCATTTAGCAGCTGTAATTTGAAAAGATTAAAAAAAAAAAAAAATTACAACAATCAAATGCCTAACATTAGCATCTTAGGCATAAATGTTGTGTTACTGAAATACTACAAAGGCATCTGGTAAACAGTATTCATGCAAAATGAATTAGCATTAAAGAAAAAAAACCCACCCACTCCTGCGTTTTATAGCCTCCCTCTCTTCCTCCAGGGAAAAAAAAAGAGTAAGGTTGAGATACACAGAAATTTTTCAATACTTCAAAACTACTACATGGAATAAACCCATGACCTTCTGACGTGTTTAATTCAGTCAGAGAGTTGAAGGTATTAGGCACAAAGAAGATCGATCTGCCACCTCCTGACCGGTGGTACTGTCAAGAGCAGCAGACAGCAGGAGAAAGACGGCTGAGAATGGTTTGGATGTCAAGTTTTAAGTTGCTGGCATAACATTCAGGAGCCATCAGTAAAGCCAGGTCCTAGGGCAGGATTCAGTGCTGCCTTCACACTCCAGCAAGCTGAAAAACCTTGACAATCAATCACACGAGAGAGGCCAAATTCCAAACCCAGCTGGGGTGCGTAAGCAGAACTGCACCCACTGTACTAGCAATATTAATTGATGTGATGGTAGAAAGTAAAACTCTGGAAGTGGTAGAGGAAGAAAGAGGAAATGCAAGAGAGCCCACGCCTGGGACATACAGCGGTCACGGGGTCATGGCCAGTTCAGAAAAGTAGTAAAGCAAAGCAACATTTGAAAAATACAGTATGCCTATTCAGAAGCAAGCAACATGTTTTCAGCAAGTTTCAAGCCTTTCTCCGAGGTGATCTCAGTCCTTTCCTGTTGTCTCTTTGTCCACTCGTGCAGAGAGTAGTTTTCTTCTGCCAGACCATTAATTATAATGACAGATTCAACCAAATGGCGCTCACCGCAATGCCCTAGCGGATACCACCAAAAACCGACGTCGCTCGCCATTTACCCGCACCCCTCATTTACAGCCAGTCAGTCCACTTCCCGTCCCTGCTTGCCCACACACGTACTCCTTTGAAGACTGGGAGTCCTCGTACAAAACCCTTTCCAAGGCTCTGAGGGGACTCTACCACACCCAGCACGTTCACCTAAACCATGGCTGCAAGCCCAGATCGACTCGTGCTGTCAGGGAGTATTGCTCTGCCTCTCATCTGCAGTTGATTTTAACTCTCCTGGGAGTATTTCACATCTCCCAACGAACCGCCATCTTCCGAACGACACTAAACCCAAATTTCAGTATTTTCAGAAATAAGGACCCCCTCAGGATTCGGCCTTCTTCCCAGGCCACCTCCTCCCTACCGCTGACTCCCACCCGCTTCGCCCTTCCCCGGCTGGCACGGTTCCTCCTGGGCCCTCCCAAGCTCTCCGGGAAAAGCACCCCCCCCGCGCCCCGCGGCAGGGGAGGGCTGGG